GGAGCTTGGAGGCGTTGGTGTCCTTAACTTAAGATCAAGTGTAGATATCACTCTCTCAGGGTCAAATGGAAGAAGCCCTGCCCCTCGGAACCCGCCTCAAATGTTACTTTCCGTCATTGTAGTGTTAAATGCAGCGTGGAAGGCAGGAAAGAAGTCATCCTTTGTAATATGAGAAATATGAGCCTGCATCATATCTTCAATTTGCCGACCATAGGCCTGCTTTAACGGGCCGAAACAGCCAACATCAAGTGGCTGGAGTAGATGAGAAGAGTGAGCAGGCATACAAAGCGTAATAATGTTGTGTTCCTTGCAGTACTCCTCAAACTCATCTGAGTGGTGGCTCTCATGACCATCAAGGACTAACAAGCGATAACCACCAACACTCCGGGCCTTTGTATGCTTCTCAAAGTGCTGAATCCAATCCATGCCTCTCTCGTTTGTAGTCCAGCCATTTTCAGTAACAGAAATCACCCAATCGCTTGAAAATCCACTATTCTCATACCAAGATGTAAGGTGGTTTTTGCCTGCAACAATGATAAATGGTGGTACTGCCCAACCTTGAGAACTAACGCCTTGGATTACTGTAACCCATTCCCGATTACCAGGCTGTACCTTCTTTGCTTTTGCCCGCCCGTCTGAGCTTGTTACAACCATAGCAGTTGAGATAACGCCCATCATAAACCCAGTCTCATCAAAGTTGTAGATATCTGCTTCATCGATACCATATTTCGCAATTGTGTTACGCACAAGCTCAAACCAGCCATTAATAACTTCTGGATCTTCGCACTTAGCCCTCTGGTAGTCGTATTTGCGCTGAAAGCGTGTCTGGAGCTCTACACGCCGCTTAACAAAGTTTGAAGCCCAACGCGACCCAACGCGTGACGCGTCGCGTGTTGCAAGTAGTCGACTTGCCATATCTTCAACAACAGACAGCCGAGGAGGAAACCCTTTGGCAGCTAGGTCGAGTATATACTGAACAAGGACGGACTCCTCTAGGTTAGTTAATTTCCGTGAGTTGGCTTGGATATCGCGTCGTGAAGGTACACCTTCTAGACGACGACCTAGCTTGCGGTGGTCCACAGAATAGATCCTAGCAGCAACTCGAAGGCGTAACTTTGGGTCGCTTTGCATAGCCTGGATAGCTAGCACTAATTGGCTTTCATCGTTTTTATGGGGCATGTTTTGTTGTTGAGGAATTTAACATTTAGTTGGGGGGTTTGGTCACCGCATCATTTTGGCGCTTTCGCTTGTTTGGCGCTTTCGCTATACATGTACGTTATATTATATTTTGTATTTGAATATCACGTGTGTTGAATTATTTAACTCTGACAGTAGCCTCTCACATAGGTTTCTATTTATTAATTCTATTGGTTAGGCCTTAATTTCATTACTATTATTAATACTATTTTAGTATACAGATTATCTCAGAAGCGTCTTCGTATAGTAACACTGATTGGCTGTCGGAATATTACCTTCCGGAAATGCTACTAGTATGGGCTTGGCGGTAAAATATCATACTATGAAGCCCTTTCCTAGCCACATTATTAGCTACATAAGACAGTGTGGGTCAGTCTAAGACCCTTTTTTACGATTAATCCTCTCCAATTGTCACAAAAAAAGGGCCGCCCCCCCCAAGGTATATATAATAATAACAAAATAATGATCTACATTAATATTTTGTATGCCACCCATTAACAATACAGCTTCGTATGTTGACCATTTCACATCATTATATAAAGTATAAATCTGAAGACGTTCAATCTCGAGTAAGCTCTTGCTGTCGCTTTGGAGTTAATAGAAGCTCAACTTCCATTGTTGTTACTTGAATTATAATATAATATAATGCATCACGTATGGATTACGTATGAGTGGTAAAGCAGCATAACATTACTTGGGTTTTTATTAGCGGTAAATGAAAATTATACCCTGTAATTTGACCGTAATAAAAATTCTACCCTGTCGTGATTAATAAGTCACCACCTGACGCCCACCGTCCCCCACAGCCATGAAGAGCGACAGCGACCACCTCCCTTACCCCTCCACCCTTTGCTACCTATAAGCCCAGCGCAGCTCCTAGCATTGTCGTTTGAATTGGCTTGACGAAGCCATCTTATGCCACAATGAGAGCGGCGGCTGGCGAATCAGCATGACGAAGCTACACCAGGATGGCGAGGGAGGTAGCAGTCAGGTGAGTGTACAATTATCACTTTCGAGGAGCTGGCTGTAAGTGTCGCGTGGTGGCTTATTAAAACAACAGGGTATAATTTTCATTTACCGTTTTATTAGACTATACGTCTACAAGGGGGGAGACGATCATTGCACGTTTAACAATTATTGACCCAAAGTACTCGGTGTTCCACCCACTCGCTTTGCTCGTAGGTGGCGACAGCGATCTGTGCACGCGACAGCGATATGTGCATGTACACCGCCACTTTGATACATAGATGAAATAATAATATTTGTCGTAACAACAACCCTCTACGATGCCTTTGAATAGCGATCCAAGTCGAGCTGACCATCTTATTGAGGCCCGGCAGTTCTACTTGAAACAACCAGATACTTATACAATTACTTGGGTTGCCCGCAAGTTTAATGTCAACCGTGAGACACTCCGACGACACATTACTACCCCTCTCCTTCCCCGCGGGGGTCAAAACCGAGTTTTATCTCAAGAACAAGATACTGCAGTTTGTCAATTTATATATGACCAACTTAAGCGTGGGGTCCCTGCAAACCGATCAATGGTTTTACGGGCTGTTGCAGACTTGCGACCCGATCGTACGATCCCATCGCAACGGTGGTTACAACGCTTCCTTAAGGCACACCCTGAATTCCACTCGATTCATACGAAGACTTTAAATACGCATAGAAAGCAGGCACAAAAGAAAGAGGTGTTTGAGGAATTTTTCCTTACATATAACGCACTTATTACAAAACACAACATTAAGCCATATAACTTATGGAATGTTGACGAGACTGGCTACATGATTGGATGTTATAAATCTACAGCTGTTATTGTGCCGATTGGCGTAAAGCAATAGACTGTTGATAATCCTGAGAATCGGCTCTCTGTTACTGTGATTGAGGGAGTAAATGCAAGTGGTACAGCAATTGCAGAAGCCATTATCATTCCGGGGAAACTTCATATGGACTCATGGTATAATGATAACCTTGAGCCAAATGCTCTTGTTATCGTTAATGAGAGTGGGTATTCAAACGACGACATTGCAATTCAATACCTCATGCATTTTATTCAACTATCTGCAGAGCATATGGCACCAGACGACACCCGCCTCCTATTACTCGACGGCCATGACTCTCATAAAACGGAGCGCTTTCTCACATTAGCAGAAGAGCATAACATTGTTATTTGCTGCCTTCCTGCTCATACTACGCATCTACTACAACCTCTTGATGTAGCAGTTTTTAAGCAGTGCAAACACTTCCATCAAAAGGCACTTGATCAAGCAGTACGTAGCTATGACTATGAGTATAAGCTACGTACGTTCCTTTCCGACCTTCCACAAATTCGACGGCAATCCTTAACTGTCCGGACAATTCAATCAGGTTGGAGAAATGCAGGACTATATCCATATAATCCTCCACTAGTAATTGATAAAATACAAGAGACCCGGAATCAAACACCAGACTATGAGCCATTTGCTTCGTACGACCTTATCTCAACTCCAAAAACTAGTGTGCAAACTATACAGGCAGTTAAACATTGGCAGAAGAGAGTAGAGGCAGCTTTCTCATCACCGTCAAGAGAAGGGTTTCAATCATTTGCATGTGGAACTACAGTTGTTTTACATCGGGCTGAGCTCTATAAGACCGAGCTTGACATTCTTACCTTATGGTCAGCAGAGCAGAAAACAGCAAAGGCAAGGGCACGGAAATCGCTACAGAAGGGGGGGCAGTTATATGCATCAGACGCCCGACTGTTACGTGAGGAGAAGGAAGCAAAATTACAAGCAAAGGCAGAGGCAAGAGTAGCAAAGGAATCAAAGCAAGTAGTAAAGCAGTTACAGGTGCAACAACGGAAAATTGAAATCGAAGAGCGAAGGGTTGAGAGGAAGAGGGTAGCAGAGCGGAAGAAGGTTGGGTTAAAATCCAAAGTGATAATTTTACGGTATGGTAAGGATCATAGTGATAGTAACATTGAGATTAGTAGCGACAGTAGTAGTGGAGATAGTGATAGTAGCTCTATTGATTTTATTATTTAATTATATAGTTACATAGTTGCTATATGAGGCTTATTTCTTTCATTTTGTGTGTTGCACATATCGCTGTCGCGTGCACAGATCGCTGTCGCCACCTACGAGCAAAGCGAGTGGGTAGAACACCGAGTAGGAAGTCTAGCTCTCTGGGGTCTAGGCGATCTAGGCTGGTATAGTCATCAGCATGGGCGGGCGATGCAACCGCGAGAGGCGAGAGCAATCGAGGTTGACACCAACCGCGGAGGCGAAGTCAGCCAATTCACGGATCTAATGGGTATAATAAAGTACAAATAGTAGAGAGAGATAATCGTCGGATCCGCCTGTTCGCGAACAGGCGGATCCGACGGATTATACATAACGTATTGCACAAGCGAGTCGGACACACAAGTCATTTAAATATTAAGCTGAAGGAAACAATACCAGCCTCAATTTATATGCATTATCTCACAACTATTCAGAATCGCGCCATTGAATTTTCAAGCGACAAGCATGAGTGGTAGAGATGAGTCTACACATTTCTATCGGAGGGGTATCTATTCTATTCACCTTCCTTTGTCGTAGTTATTGACCATTCAGTCGCCATGTGCTCCTTCCCACTTCCCACTTTAACCACCGAGACGACCGTTCGGGCTCACCGTCACTGTCATCCTGACTCAGATTTTAGCTTCAGCTTACTTGCTTTACCCTATCGCGCACTTCTACAAACGCAATCAATTTTTCTGTTGTCTCTTATCTCTTCCTTCTTTCCTTCTTTCCTTCTTTCCTTCCCTTCCTTCTTTCCTCCTCCTTCTTCGTTTTTCTCTTTCCTTTCTCAGGTCTATTTCACAGGTCAACTTCACTTTACTTCACTTAACTTCGAAGCCAACTGGACATTGTTTTGCGTGCGCATAGCCATGGGTCCTGAAAAGAGCCTCGGCCCTTTGGGTCAGATAACCCCGGCATATACTCTGGTGACCCTGGGCTTTCCCATCGAGAACAAATCACAGGAAGCGGCTGCAATATCCACCCTTGAGAAGGCAGCGGGGGAAATAATTCAAGCTTATCCATGGCTTGCTGGTCAAGTTGTCAATGAAGGCTTTGGAGACGGCAGTTCAGGCACCTACAAGGTTGTCGGGTATGAGCAGCATGAAACAACCTCAAGGTTTGTGCATGTCAAAGACTGTACCAACAATTGCCCCTCCTATGCAGACCTGGTTAAAGCTCGTGCTCCTTCATCAATGCTAGATGGAAGCATCCTCTCTCCGGCATATGGTTTTGTCAACAGCTATCCCCGCTATGTGGTCAAGCCCGTCTGCATAATGCAGGCAAACCTCGTCAAAGGCGGCCTACTTCTGACCATTTGTACCTTCCACGGTGTGATGGATGCAAATGGTAACGACCAATTCATTCGCCAGTTCGGTAGCCTTTGTCGTGGGGAGAAGCTTGCAGAGGAGTACGTCCGTTGGGGAAATATGGATGCAGATACTATTATCCCGCCGCTCAAAACTGGGGAAGAAGCTCTTCCTATGGAGTGGATCAGATATCCCTCTGCATTAGGCGCAGAAGAACCAACATGGCCCCCTCCGCCATCAACGGGAACTTGGAGGACCTTCCGGTTCCCTTGTGCTAGCATCTCTGCATTGAAAGCCGAGGCAATGAAGCTGTGCTCTCCGGACTCCGACGTCAAGTACGTATCAAGCAATGATGCTATTTCGACCTTCATCTGGCTTCGAATTGCGGCTGCTCGCTCGACACATCTTCCAAAAGACAGCAAAACAATGGTGCTGCGTGCTGTGAATGGACGCCAGAAGCTCGATACTCCCATCCATGAAGGGTACATGGGCCACGCCGTTATGTGCAGTCTTATCCAAGTGTCCCTTGACGAGGCCCTAAACGGGAGTCTCTCCGCGATGGCAATCAAGCTCCGCCAGGGCTTGAGTCAAATCGACGACCACGCTATGCGCTCATTCTTTCATCTTCTACAGACTGAGAAGGACAAGACTACGATCAACTACGGCGCGAGCATGAAAACGGAGACGGATATTATGCTTACGAGCTGGGTATCCCAGAAACTGTATGACACCAACTTTGGGGACGCTCTGGGGAAGCCCGATTTCGTAAGGAGGCCGAAGTTGCCAGATGCGCTATCGCTGGCCTATATGATGCCATTGACCAGAGATGGTGACGTTGATTTGATTATTTCATTATCAGATCAAGATCACGAGGCCCTGGGGAAAGATGCACAGTGGGAGGAGTTTGTCGAGTATTTGGGGTGAAGTATACCATGAAAAGTCTATACGGACGGCAAACCCAGGAGACTGATACGTACCTTTCGGCAGAAAACCCCTTTCAAACCCAAAAGACCCATTCCATACAGATAATTGGGGTGGTAGGGCGAGATTTGTCTTAAAATAAATCGTCGGGGCGTTCTACCGCCTTTTCCGACCAGATAGACGTCGCAATACTTGCATCTAGAACGGCGAAATAATTTAAAACCAAACCAAAACTCAATCTTCGAGATGATTCTGAATCCAAGTGAACAAACTGCTGACCTTCAAGTGACGATGTTGTGGGCTAATACGGAGTACTCATATTTCATTTGATCCATCCCTCAGCCACCTCAGCCCCCACCGCCGTGCTTGGCGCTCACTGTGATATCAAACAGACGACGCAAGGCTACAGCTGCGATGTTTCCTTCATAATACCCTCCATCTCTTATATCTTTAGACCAACTTTCCTTTCCTTCTATATTTCCCTTCTATTTATCAGTATATACTTCTCAGCCATGGGCTCCTTAGGCGCACAAATCCACGGCAAATTCCCCCTCTTCGTCATCGATGCGGGGGTTGACGACGCGGACGCTTGGCAGAGACCATACCTCACAACACCAATATTCAGGAAATTCGTCAACAAATCATTCCCACTGATTGACATCCGCCCCGAAATTGCAGCCCCAGGGTATAACCCCGCCGATCTACTAAAGAGCCACGGCTTCGGGGTCCTAAACCACAAGTCCGCGCTCTTCGACCCCTCCAACGCCCATCTAAGCATAGACGACGAGCCCCTCCTCCATGAAACATACTACCCCGAGATCCGCGAGCTCCTGACCAAAACCACCGGCGCAAAACACATCTTCATAACCCACAGCTTCGTCCGCAAAAGCCGGCCCCGCGGCATCACCGGTCCGAACCCGCCTAACTCCGCCCGCCGCGCTGGATCAAACAATCGGGCTGACGCTAACTTCCGGGGCACTGTAAACCACCATGACAACACTACCAACGTCCCGAAGCATATCCCCGCCGGCGCCGGAGTTGGTCCTGCCCGCCTCCCGCATCTCGACAACACGCACATCAGCGCGCGTCAGTGCATCCGCTTTTACCGGCGGGATATTGAGCAACAGGCGCGCGAGAGCGGGGTCATCGGTGCTGAAGACGGGATTTGTGCTGACTTGCCATTCCCAGCTACCAGCGCCGAGGCCAATACCGTGATCGCGGAGCGGTATAACCGCGGCGAATTGGGGCCGCGGTATGCAGCGTATAGCGTTTGGCGGCCGCTGGGAACTGTGCAGCGGGATCCGTTGTGTGTTGCACCGCGGCGGCAGGATACGGGGGAGCTGGTAGAGTATCCTTATGACCTCCGGGTTCCGGGGAATGCGGAGTTGGGAGGGGATTTTTTGCGGGAGGTGGCGCTGTTGGGTGTGCAGGGGGAAGAGGTGGGGGTGGGACGTGAAGTTGATGCGGGGAAACTGAAGTGGTATTATGTGTCGAAGCAGACGAGGGAGGAGGTGCTTCTTGTCAAGTTTTTTGATAGTGCGGCGTTGTGTCGGGGTGAGGAAGAGGCGGAAGCGCCGTGGCATGGGAGTCCGGATATTGGGGACGTGTGTGGGGAGGGAGCGAGGGAGAGCATCGAGGTGAGGGTTATTGCGTTTTGGTGAGGAGGGAAGCGATGAGGATGGCGCTTTGTTTACTTGGGCTTGAAGAAGCCCTGAAAGCATATAATCGAAGCATCAATACTATAATTCTATTTCATTTGTAGATTGGTAAATAGAGAACAGAATTACGGATTTATTGTTAAATTCGGCAATGCACTCGAAGTTCAAGTCTCCGTTATTCTGAAAAGAAGCGTGGCTAAAACTGTCGAGCTTCATATCCGTCTACAAATAATTAGAAAAGGTTGTAGATGAAGCGTTAAATTCATCCCTCGCGGCAAGTATGAAAATCATAATAATGAATATAGCTTCATTGTTGTTTTAGGGGTTTATTCACATGTCGTAGGTTCGCTTGTTGTTTGATAATCGTCGTGACCAAACTTTTCGCTTCGCTCAAGGTTGGAGCAACGTAAGTTGTGGCGTAACCGGGAGAATGGCGTAAACGGGATAGTGGGGAATATTGAGCATCAAGAGTATCACCAAACCAATGTAAACCCCCAACATGGTGCGAAAGCGTAGTCAGAAAGCCGAAGAACTAGAAGTTTTATTGGCACAAGCTGTTGCTGGAGTTAAATCAGGATTATACAAATCTTCGTACGGTGCTGCAAAGGCTTTACACCTTCGGCCAGACACAGTCCTTCAACGTGTTAATGGGAAACTGTTACGGAGAGAAGCTCGACAACAACAACAACTGCTATCGCCAGCGCAAGAGCAGACACTTTTAAAGTGGATTAAGGTGCTAACAATTAGTGGATATGCTCCTAGTCACCGTATATTGCGGGATATTGCTGACGAAATCCGTGTCAACCGATGCCGCGTTTTCGAACTGTCGCACCCTAACAGTCAACATGCCCAACACATGCATCACGAAGAGATTCCAAACTTTCCCCTTGGACAAGACTGGGTCCCACGGTTTATAAAATGACATCCGCATTTACAAATCCAACTAGGCAGACGGGTCGAAGCACAAAGAATGAGTGGAGTACAAAAGATGTGTTAACGGGGTGGTTTGATGCGTACGACCTTGTGGCGCGTCTAGGAATACAAGAACACAACGTGTATAACATGAATGAAACTGGATTTTCGATTGGAACTATGGAGTGTACTCGGATCATCGTTGATTCTACACTCCGTACACGTCACCAGGCACACCAAGGCCGGCAGGAATGGGTGTCTGCTGTTGAATGCATCTGTATGGATGGAACGACCAATAACCCTCTTATTATATTCAAGGGTCGGAACGTCTTACAAAACTGGATCCCTCCTGAGGTTATCGATAAATGGCACTTCTCTGCTAATACAAAGGGTTGGACAAGCAACTTACATGGCATCGAGTGGTTAAAACGCGTGTTGAACTAGCAACGCATGCGAAAGTGACATCTAATGGAGCACAACAACAACAGTTACTCATATGCGATGGCCACGACAGTCATATAAGTGGAGGCTTTATATTCCATTGTATGCAAAATCGAATATCTATCCTTGTCCTCCCACCGCACACTTCGCATGTGTTGCAACCACTCGATGTTGCAGTCTTCGGACCATTGAAAAAATATCTCACAAGTGCGCTCTCACATTTGAATGAAGCGCAACTTACACGCATACAAAAAGCAGAATGGTTATCTGCATACATCAAAGCGAGAGCAATTGCGCTATCTACTCATAATATTACATCTGCGTGGAGGGGTGCTGGTCTACAACCTTTCCAACCTCAACGGGTGATCCGGATGGTGACGCTCCAACAGACAGATGTGACAGATGATCGACCAAAAACACCAACTGAGTACGATATTTTTGACACTGTCTTTCAGAACTGTAGTCCACCCGACTGTTCTACATTGCGCAAAGCGAACACTGTCCTGGTTGTGGCCTTAGAGATGCGTACAGTCCTAAACACACGCACTACTCGATATATCCGTTGGTTGGCTGATGAGACTGAGCGACTTAATACATGCAACTTCTTACACCAACCCGAGGCAGATAACCTACGATCGATAATACAAACACGGAGAGCACAGAGCAAAGGGAAACGCGCAATTTTAAAGGGCCAATTCCACATAACTACAGAGGAATTATGCTCCCAAGTCATTGAGGCCGAGGAGGCCACCCAGAAAGCGACTACCAAAGGCAAGAGTCAGCGATAAATACCACTGTACCTGACCAAACCAAGAATGTCGAGGAGGATGAGAACCCAGAAGAAGTATATGACTGCATTATAGTTGAATACTAAAGTAATAATACTCTACTTTTCGCTTTCTTCGTGGTCGGTCTTCCCCCACTATCCCGTTTACACCATTCCCCAGTTACACCACGACTTATGTTAAGCAACATGCGCCACTTTACGCGAGAGGAAGCAAGTTGCGCCAACTCACAACCTGCATATGTTCACCGCTACTCTGACCTTTACCATAGCCACACGTAGTATTTTATATAGTAATTCAATCCAATTTATTTAATGGAAGAGACTTCACTATCAAATGCCTGTAAATGGCTAGCAGAGAACCCCTCAGAATCTGCGACCACTGCCAGTTGACTTTTCAAGGTCGCACGATCGTCAATATGGTCGAGTATTGCCCGAGCAGCTCGACGGCAGCAGCAAGCTCAGCAACAGCAGCTACCCCAACACGGGGGTAAGAATAAGCTGCTATCTACTGCGCAAATTGAGGCTCTTAAGAAATGGATACTTGAGCAGTATTACCTAGGGCTTGGAGCTACTAGGAATATGATATTTGCCGCAGTCTGCAACTCCGGAGCCCACAGCCCCCGCCATCACAGAGTTGGCTTACAAAATTTATTAAAAATGAGCTTCAAGAATACCACTTTATTACTACAAAGCCAATTGTGCAGCAGCGTACGAAGGCTCAAGACGAGCCTACTGTTACTAATTGGTTTCGCGACTACCTTGAGTTTGTACTACAGCGTAGTATACAGCCAGAGTCAATTTGGAATATGGATGAAACTGGCTTCCGGGTAAGAATCCCAGGTGGTGAGCGGGTAATTGTACTGCTAGTAGCAAAAGAACTCTACACCCCAAGCCCTGAAAATCGTACGTCTATTACTATCCTTGAGGCTGTGTCTGCTGTTGGAAAAGTCATACCACCTGTACTTATTATTCCAGGCAAAATTCATATGGATTCTTGGTACCACACCAACCTTGAAGGCACAGAGCTCTTCTTGCTCTCCGACTCTGGATTTACTAACAGCCAGCTTGCTCTCCGGTGGCTACAGTGTAATGCTGACTTCTAAACGATAGAAGACACAGAGGTTTCTTGCGTAAGGTTGACTTGATAGAGGAGGCAGGGGATTAGACACAAAGGCTTTCCAAGTAACACGTTACAGTATTGTAAAGAATACTATATTGAGTTGAGCACGAAGCTCCTATCTAAGGAAATACTATCTACTTATATAGTGGCGTCGTGCTAAAGGGATATCTGTGGATAACATGGATAACATAATATCCATGATATCCAATGTTATCCATCACCTGATATTCCGTGGATCCCCGTGGATAACATGGATAACATAATATCCAAGATATCCAATGTTATCCATCACATGACATTCCGTGGATTGCCGTGGATAACATGGATAACATAATATCCATGATATCCAATGTTATCCATCACGTGAGGTTGCAGCTGTAAGCGCTAGCCATAGCACTAGCACTTAGCTGTAACATACAGCACTTTGCACAGCATACAGCTCAATATGATAATGGAGAGCCGAAGGTTCTACTGCTTGACTCTCACGTTAGCCATACAAGCGATGATTTTATCATTGCAGCTGAAGAACACAACATTATCATATATACCTTCCCATCACATCTTACACATGTTTTACAGCCATTAGACGTTGGGATATTCAGGCCTTATAAGCACTGGCACCGAGAAGCTGTGCTTGCAGCTATTAAGGCATATGGATATTACCTATGACCTCCAGTCCTTTATGCGGGATCTCACTGTTACGGCTATGGTAATGTGACGTCATGGTTACAGGACCAGGACCTAGTAACGTGACGTGTGAGTCACAGGGGGCAAGCAGGGTAGGCTGCCATGTGACGGGGCTAATGGATAGTTGCAGAAACTAGTGGATATTGGATAGTTGAGCTATCCATGAACTATCCTGACTATCTAGCTATCTGCCAACTATCCAGATTACCCATGAGGCATGACGCCACTATATAAGTAGGTAGTATTTCCTTAGATAGGAGCTTCGTGCTCGACTCAATATAGTATTCTTTACAATACTGTAACGTGTTACTTGGAAAGCCTTTGTGTCTAATCCCCTGCCTCCTCTATCAAGTCAACCTTACGCAAGAAATTAGAAGTCAGCGTTACACTCACTCGCATGCGGGAGCAGACTTTTAAGGAGTCTACTATAATATCCGCTTTTCAGAAAGCTGGTATTTGGCTGGTTAGCTGTTCTGTAGCTCTTGCAAAACTACGTACGTACTCGCAGCCTACTATAGAGCCTACACCTACACCTATACCTACTCTACCAATCCGAGTTTCTACACCTAAACCCACGACTTTGAGGGGGTAGAAGAGGGGCTACAGCACTGGAAACAGCGGGTTCCAGAAGGCTTTAGTAGCCCCTCAAAGCAGAGCTACAGTAATTGGCTTACCGGCACTGAAGAGGTAGTAGTAGCCGGCCAACTCCAGGAGTGTAATGGTGGGTGCACCAGATGTGAGAATCTAGCCACCCAAGGAAGGGATGATTTTACTCAGACAACACACTGTCTTAGGAAACAGAGCCAAAGGGTCGTAGCTTAGACTATTCCACAACGCAGCAATCAGGTGTATGATGTAGTGAAGTGGTTTAGACAAGTTGTAACAAATGTTGAGTCTGAGAACTCAGGGGTAAGTCAGAGGTTAGCACCTCACTGACTTTTCAGAAACAAAGAATAACAAGATCAATGCTTGGAAGCTTGGAAAAGACGTAGTAAGTATGTGCTAGTTGATTTACTGTATTGTCTGCTTGCCCTTTCTTAAGGAAAGGGCAATCCC